GATAGATAGATAGATAGATAGATAGATAGATAGATAGATAGATAGATAGATAGATAGATAGATAGATAGATAACTGTTATAAATTGTATTTAAGGATCGTGTTATTGTTGATCTTCCAGCCTGTAGATGGCGATAACGGCTTCTGTCCCCAGTTCCCCGAATCATGTGACTTCCACCAAAACAAAGCTACCAGCCAGCTGACGGTGAAAGTACAGAGGTCAGAGGCTGAAACTTTTTAGACTTTTTAGACTGAATGAAACCGCTGCTGGTTTAGGATGAACACGACACTGAAGCACTGGAAAGAGGCGGCCACTCTGATTTTAGCCGCAGGACGCGGGCGTGGTTTCACCCCGAGAGCACCGCTGACAGGGGAAAGCGACTCTGGACAGTCACATCTGCCCCACAGGTCCCCCTTTGATTACGACGTTTTGCTGCTTAAAAGAAGCGGTAAAAGCGGATTCATGCCCAATGCTTATGTGTTTCCTGGGGGAGTGGTGGACGCATCGGATTTTTCCAGTGAGTGGCTGGACATTTTCAGATCTTTCACTAACTCCCTGACTTTCGGGTTAAGAAGTGTCAAACAGCCTCTGGAGACCAGACCTCCAATCTTTGCTACAGACCGACTGAAACTAGGCTCTCCCATCCCGGGAGAAGTCGCCCTCCGGATCTGCGCGTTGAGGGAAACATTTGAGGAATCTGGCGTACTTCTGGTTGCTCCCAAAACAGAGGAGAAAAAAATGTTAAAAAGCATAAAGGACTTTGGTTACATTGAGCGCTACGGGGTGAATGATCTGTGCAGCAGTGAGCTCACCAAGTGGAGGGCTCTGGTTAACCAGAACCCCTCCAACTTTATCAGGATGTGTAGAGAGCTGCAAGTGTTGCCTAACATCTGGGCTTTACATGAGTGGAGCAACTGGCTGACTCCAGCAGGCCGATATGGGACGACGAGATTTGACACAGCTTTCTTCATCTGCTGCTTGCAGGAGATTCCGCATACGCTACAAGATGATAAGGAAATTGAGCGTTTTCAGGTGATTACATATATCCAGCCAGATTAATTTATATTCTTTATAGACGCATGAAACGCACATGTGACCATCAAAACCTGCTTACCAATTCATTAAAAAGGGGGTCAGTCATATAATCCAACAGTATCCCAACTAAAATCTGGGATCTGGTAGAGCAACTGACTCCTGAGCTACAGCCACTGAGGGGTGGCTCCTTTCTGATTTTTCTATCTCTTGGTATGGCCATATTATTTAGCAAAGATATAGTATAGCCATACTCAGCACAGATGTCCCTGTATACTATGCCAGGCACTTGGTTATAGGGTTCCATGTATCCCCTGCCTGCTAGCATCTTGCACGCTGCTGTTATGTGGTCATCTCAGGAGCATCTTTGCACAACTTGCACCGAGGGTCTTGCCTGGTGTGGTAGGACACAGCCTCTATCGACCTTTTGCTTATAGCTTGTTCCTATGCTGCCATGATAGAGAAGTGAGAGAAGCAAATAAAAATAAAGAAAACAAGAGATGTCAATTTATTCTTATTAGACAGACCTGCAGATCTTTTTGTCCACAGCCCATGCAATGCCAGGGGACAAAGTAAAGCAAAGAAATGCTCCAAATGTAACAGGAAATGAATTCGGAGAACAAAATTAAGACCTTTCAGTAATCACTGCTAAATACTTTATTGATCCCAGAAAGGAAATGGTTGTTCCAGCAGTGGGATAAGGAATAAAAACAGCACAGTCTGCAGTAAATAAACAACCAAATGAATGTATAAGTGCCACAGGTGCACAGTAAGGGAATTATACTGTTAAATAGTGCAAAAATTTACATAGACTACAATGATAACAAACAAAGAGTAAAACTGAAGCGAATGCAAGAGAATAGTGTAAATTGTATTTACAAAAAAATAAATAAAAATAAATAAAAGTAAACATGAAAGGGTATAATACAAAAATGTGTGTTTTAGATCTTATTCCTGACAGGTATGTTCACCTGTGACAGAACAAAACCTTATTGTACAGTTTTATAGAGAAATATAGGATTGATTTCCACAATCATTCTTTATGGCAGTGTGTTTGAATCAGTCTGAAGGAGCTCTGCTGCCTCAGTAGTGCGGAGTGGAGTGGGTGAGATTGTCTGTGGTGGAGAGCAGTTTGTTCAGTGACCTCCTGTCCCTCACTAACGGAAACACCTCCAAATTCTTGATAGTGACGCTTACCGCCTTGTGAATCAGTTTCTTGACAATCATGATTTCTGTTTTACGACACAGAGTTTGTTTTTGTTTTTTTTAAAGAAGCATAGTTGGAAAATGTCATAGACCTAAGAAGTGGTTCGATACTTGCTCCTTTTTAAATTTTCCCAGTGCAGTCAACTTGCCTCTTAAATAATGTTCCTCATAAAAAAAAGTGTGATCTCAGAAAATCACACTGTGAGGCTAGCATCTTCTCTGACCTCCCAAGATAAGAACTGATATCACCTGACACTGAACTTCTTTATACAATTCCTCTACCAATCATTAAAATCTTCCAGGTGCCACTGGTTACACAAGGATAAGTCAGCGTGAGTAATTCAAAAATGGGGTTTTGCAGCTGAAATTACACAGAAAATGTGGTAAAATTAGTTTCAGTGGGTAAATAACACTAGCTCTTTCGAGTGTCTTTGTACCAGCTGATTGATATTGTGTACCAAATCAAAGGTAAGATCACAGTGTTGCAGTTCTAAAACACTAACCCCATCTGTGTGTTTCAGTGGTCCACACCCTCAGAGATCTTGCAGAGCTACCAGGCACAGGAGTTGTGGATTGCGCCTCCACAGTTCTATGAACTCAGCCGCCTGTGCCACTTCCCTCTACTAAATGATCTCCACAACTTCGCCAGCCAGCGTGCCACAGCGGGCTGCGAACAGTGGATGCCGGTTGTTGTATCAAATGATGAACATCATATATCGCTGCTGCCAGGTGCAGATTTTATCATTATCATTTAATGATTTACACCTATCTATGTTTAATCTTTCCTCTCTCTCTCTCTTGGACTGCTTACTCATCCAGGTGATAAACTTTATCCAGTGGACAGCCCAAGAGACTCTGAAGCTGCAAAAAACACAGCCCCTCAATCAAAGGATCATCAGGATGCTTCCCCGCTCCACCGTATTGTCATATCAGATCCATACAATTTAAGGGTACAGATCACCATCACTCCAAAATACAACCATGTCCTCCCTATTGCACATTCAGCAGTGTCACATGACTCAAAAAGTCAGCTTTGACAACCCTGTGATCCTTGTCCTCCTGTGCCTATGAAATAAAAAGTCACAAAACCAGGCAAATTTATAGTCATATTTTTATATCGGTCTCAGTCATGTTGCTCTCGTCACTGTATATTTTATTATGTTAATTTAAATTAGAAATTTTGCAGCACTTTGAGAGTTATTGTGTTTCAGATTGGCTTGTTTTGGGTAGAAATTCCTAGTACATGAAGCTGGAAGAGAAGAAGAAGACAAACATGGACAGAAGAGAAAGAACATTCAGTCTTCAGCTCAGGCCAAACTTTGCAGGACCTGCCAGACAGCTCATTTAAATAATGGCAGTAATCGTGTCTGTTTTTACTGTGTAGTTAGTTTTTACGTCAGGACAAAAAGCAACTTCAAAAATTGTATATGCAGTTTAAAGATTAGACAACTTTTTATTTGCACGGACCTGCCTGCACAGACACAGATGCATTAAGAGGTCAAATTTTTGTTCCAATAAAAATGTATATATAGTTATTGCAATCCAAAGACATGTTCTTCATGACTATACAGAGGACCAGAGTATCCTCAAACTTTGTCGCAGTTGTAGTGAAAGCTGAAGGCTGTGTTTGATCAGTTGTGCTTATTACTGGAAATATAGGTTGATTACAGCAATGCTGTTAATGAAATTTGTTAAATCTGATTAATTTAAACATAAAGGCTGCTGAAAAACACGAGTGTCTTCTTGTGTGTGTTCATGGTTGTCCTTGTGTGGAGGATGCATAAGTAGAAGTTTTCCAGAACAGTGTCCTTCAGGACAAATTGAAGCCTTGTGAGAAATACTTTGTGTAAAATGGGCCACGCAGGATTTTTGCCAATATAAATGAATTTATTATTGAGCATATTTGATCATTATTCATATTAACCTTTCAATAACGCTGCTTTAACCTGCCTTTTGTGCTATATCTTATGATTATTTGTGATGGACATAAGTAATGAGCCAAATGGTTTGTCCTATTAAAATTAAGGCTCTCAATTCAGTTCAATCATCACAGTATAACACAAAGTCAGGTAAGTTTCAGGCATATTGTAGGGAACATAGACTGCTGTAAATCAGTTTCATCCATTTTGGTGCAAATCAACGTGATAACACATGCAGTGCTTCCTCTCCTTTGCTGTGATTTTTCAGTAGCATTCTTGTCAATACTGGCAGCATGAAACAGTACCTGAAGCACATTCCTTTTGCACAGGTAGCCCAGCTCCTCCAGGATGGCATACCTGTTTATACTGTCTAAAAAATGTTTCCTGTATCTCCCAACTATCACCATCAAAAGTGTGGAAGAGCATCAATCCAGCAGCAGGATTAGTATCTGCTTGTTTGTATGAGAAAGAAACACTACCAGGGCTCTGGAAGTGTTTGTTCTGCTCTTTCAAATAGACTTCAAAAGGGCTACTCATACATGTTTTTCTTATCAAACAGCCAGACACAGGCTCCATGAGGGTGGTGTGAGTTTGTTAAACCATCTGAGAAAACAGTTCATATTAACCAGGTTTTGAAGTAAAAGTCTGGATATGATTTGTCATGAAATCCAAGACATGACAAATTTTGTTTCTTGTGGAACATGAGCATCCAAAGATTTTTTTCTTTTAGCTTTCAGTGTTCACTTAACTGTATATTTGACATAACAACAAGCTTTGTACAGATACAAAATTAATTTGAGATAAAAGAGGCCAATGGTTGAATTCACCCCAAGAGTTCCAGTACATTATGCACCAGTCACCTTTTTAGAAAAGGTGCAATTCAGAGGTACAATTTCACTAATTCACACTCAAAATTTAAAATGTAAATAAAGTATATTACAACTTTATTTATAATGTTCTTTCTTCTGTAGTAAGAAAGAACCGAAAAACCACCTGTTTTTCGGGCCGGAAAACTGGTGGTGGCTCAACGTACCCATAGCCTTGTCTCACACATTTCTCCAGTACAGTATTTTAAGACAGGATTTTTTTTTCATAACTGTTTTTGGTATCGGCTCTCAAAAACACAAAGTGCACTTTAAATGTGACAGACCACCGTCTGCTGGACTGCTGAGACGACTAGAACAAGTGGGAAGGGGCTGAACCAGCACAAGAGATAGATCCAAATATGCTGTCATAATGTCACCTGTGTTCATCAGAAAAAGTACTTTAATGTCACTCTGATCTGACGAAAACATTTCTCCCAGAAAAAAAAATGAAGAGACACACTGAAGCGAGTCAGCAGCCCTCAGTCTGGTTTTCATCTTTCTGACATATTTTACCTGTCAGCTTGATAAAAGATGCAGAGCTTCTGTCCCCTTTTGCCCTCCCCTGTCCTCACACCTCATCTCTTACTGCTTCAGAGTGCCGTGTGTGTAGGATGGTGGTGGCAGAAAGCGGGTGAGTTGAAATAACGCTGCTGAACCTTCTGTGCTGTTTGCGGAGTATGTTAAGGGTTTCTATGGCAACTCACAGCCTTGAAAACCCACCATCTAAGTCCAGATGAAGTGATGATGCAGTGGTCTGTGTCTGCCAAGTGTGTAGCTCACCTCTTTGTGAACCAGTCTGCTTAGTGTGCTTGTTTCCAAGCGAGCGAATTAAGCAAATACATGGTTTGTTGTGCATATGTTAAAATAAAATACCTCCAAACAGCTGTTGAGAAACCTGATTTACTCACCTGTAAAGGTGAGTGATGGAGCACTCTAAATATTTGATGCTGTGGCTATTTTCAGGAACATCTTGCATAACTGAAATTTTTTAAAAAGCAATTTAAAAGACACATGAAACAGTCTCTGAGTTGCATGTTGCATAAATGCTCCTCTTCCTCTGGAAGTGAGTGGAACAAATTTTAAAGGGCAGCATTTGAGGATGCTTCATCTCATTCTCTACTTAAATCTCCTCCCTCTCATCCTCATGTTTAATTAATCGCTTTTATATTTTTAGATTTCCGGATGACAATGTAAATCTGTCATAAGTTTCGAGAGATTCAAGGTCCATGACTCACTGTTAGAAGAGCATAGTGCCTCTGTGAAATGACAGCAACGATAAACAAGATGTCAGAAAGCCTACTGTGAATCAGATGTGAGTAGAGCATGCCACTGATTTTCACACATCGAAGTCTTGCCAAAGAATGCTTTCAGCTTTTTTGTTAGAAGATTAAATATCTTGCATTTTATCTACTTTGTTTACTCTATTATACTAGTTTCTTTTTTAAATGTTTCTCCACAGAATTTCTGTATTGAGAGGTGGAGAAGAGAGAGAGATTCATTTCCTGGAAACAGGAAATGAATCTGAAACTTGAATACCTTTACAATGTTTTACATATAGTTCATATATATATATACACACATATATATATGTAAAGGAAGGAGCCTCTGCTTCGAACAGGAATGTGGATGTACTGTAATTGCATTTAAACATGTGAGATAACTACATTCAGCCTAAGACTCAATTGACTTCAAATGCCATGGGTCCACTTACCATATACAATTAGTACAAGAGGACCTCCTTAATAGTGAAGAAGCTGATCATTAGGGTCCTTTCAGGGCTCATGTGATGTGCAGCTTTTCAGAATTTGCTTTTAGAATTTGCATCAAACTGTTATTTTAATGATACAAGTGTAAATATTTATCTTGAATTATTCTTTTTAGTTAAATTGGCTCTTTTGTCAATCTAAATGGACCTCCTGCTGATTTGACTGATGACCAGAGTCATTACTTCCATGACTGTTTGTTGTTTCACTTATGAAATCAATGAGCGTTTAGTGAACATAAGTTAACCAACTTGCAATGAAGATGAGGAAACTCACAGGATGAACACGGTGGCCTGTTGGGGAAAGAAACTCAGACACCTACTTACATGAAGTGGCATGTTTTTTTTTAAATGAATAATAATGATAACACACAAACACTCTGACACAAAAATGCAATGAGTTTGTGCATAAATCTGGTTTTCTATTTCACTTACATAGACATTATGGCTATGTAAGAAATGAAGTTTTGTGATACCTGGATATTTTAGCCTGGAGGTATCAAAGTACAAATTACTGTGATTTCAAACCCAGATTATGACAAAGTTTCAATGACCATTATTATTTTTTTACCCACATATACATTTCTGAAAATATCTACATGCATGCTTATACCAACAATTTTGCTATCTTTATTTTTTAAGTGCACTTTTGTCTTTTTGACTTTTTACATTTTTTGTCAAACTTTTGTGGAGTTAAAAAAAGTGGAAGATGTTTTCAATCCTTTGCATAATTCTATTTTATGAATTTTAGGGTGGTTTGACAAGCATTAGATGCATTATCTCTCTATATGTTAAGGTTTTTGTTTTTAGCCTAATGTACTAAAGCATGTGACTTGAAAATATTTCTGGAGCAGCACTTGTTTCTGTTCTGAAAATTAATAACTAACTTGCATTTATATTCATGTTGGGCTAAAGAAAACTGTCTTAGTGTGCATCTACCCTTAACTAACAACCACTTGGGTGGAAACTTTGACTCTGACTGCTTCCAGTTCAACTGGATGCCAGTCCAGGAATACCCTTAAAGGCTCTTAGATGTAAAACTATTAGGGATTTAAGCATAGTCTACTTTCCATTTAAATTAAGTACTATTTTAAACCTAAGGTGGTTAAGTGGTTAATTCCCTTCTTAAAACATCTCTATGTGTGTTAGATGTATAGATCTCTAGCTTAGGTTTGCAGTGATTACAAACTAGGCCTGGACTGGTACACAACTTACCACACCTTCAGACAAAGTGACCTTACAAGCATGCCTGGTCATGTTTGTAAAGCACCTATCAAACTGCAAGCACATTTTCAAGTGTGTTTCGAAGTTTTATTATAATAAATATACTTGATCGTATGTACATTTTCGGAAACAGCAGTATATACAAACCTTCTATTCATGTTGCAATGTACATTCAACACTGTGCAAGAAAACCCTGAAAAGGAACATGAGCAGGCTTACAGTGAATGGGTGCGTTATTAAAAGACTGTGAACATCTCTTCGGTCCCAAGGCTCTCATCAAGCACATTGTGATTTGATGCGGTAAAGTAAGATGCAGGCCTATTGCAATCTGGCTATACAGATTATTATGACGCATTAAAACGGTACTGAAAGGAGTGTAGAAGAGTGCAGATTTGATAACATCCGACCAGTGTGGTTTGACGAGCAGAGATTAACTGTGCTGGCTTCCACTATAGTTTCAATAAGACAACCGTTTTTTAGATGCCCCCCTGTTTGTTTGAGCAGATTTAACTTTTCTGGATGCAAAGCATCAATCCACAGAACATCATGAGAATAGTTAACCGTAGGCTACATTTCTGCTTGAGCTTTTCCACTAATCCACTTGGATTACGTGTTGTTTATATCATCCTGATGGCTAGACTCTGTCACGTAATTTTATGACCTTTTTTCCCACCCTCTTCCAAAAATAAATGGTCCACTGGCCCTCCCCCCCAAACATACTTTTTCTACCTCACTCCCATTATTTTCACACTTTGGCTATATTGTTCTAGTACATTTTAGCTTATCTAGTGCAATTTCTCGTCTCTGCCAAATACATTCACAAATCAAGGAAAGCTTAATAACTTTTCTGTGTCCACAATATTTTTCAAGCCCAAAAAGACGCTCTTTCTCTTTCTTATGGGCCTGCAGAGTCTTACCGCTCCCTGGGCAGCTTCACAGGATGTCCATCAGGGTGGGCTTTTGGTTAGACAGTTCACATATTGACGACCAAATAGCCTAGAACCAAGGCGACTATAACGATGACAAAGAATCCAATCACAGCGCAGATTGACGCAAAACCAGTCTCCCTGCTCCCTCCGCCACCTTCTTCTTCTTTGGGCTCTTCTTCGCAGATCGAGATGACACCCACTGAGGAATTCCCTACACTCATGTTGGACTTGAGCTCAGCGCCTGCCTCCTGCTTCGCCTCCACGGCCCACGGCGCCACCTGCACCTTCATCTCCATTTCTTCCATCATCTGGCTCACCTGGGTGATCTCGGCCTGTAGGTCTCTGAGGTCTGCCGTGTCGATATTGCTGTCCGCCTCGTACTTCATATTCTGCACGCTCATGGCCCGGGCCGCCACCGTGGTGGTGCTGCCGGTCATCCCTGTCTGGATGAGGTGTCTTGTGGGCACCTTGAGGGGGAAATCCTGTGCTATCTCTAAGGACCTTTTCATGTCCACCTCAAGAAGCTCCATGCAACTAGAGAACAGCACCCACAGGCGCTCGTACTCGGCCCGATCCTCTTTGCTGATGGTCTTATCTTTGAGCAAAGAAGTCAGTTTAGTCCTGTTGGCCACCGCCAGCTCCTGGGCCTTTTTGCGGGTCTTCTTCAGCTCCTCTCGCAGGTTTTGCGAGTCCGAAGTGCTCCCAAGAGCGATGACCAAATGCCTGTAGCAGGCGGTCACTTTGTTCAAAGCGTCCAGCATTGTTTTGCATTCCTCTTTCCCCATGACTGATAAAAAAAAATCTATATCCTTCTTAGAAAATATGAAATGATTAAAAAGGGGGAGCTGCAAACAGCGCGCTTATTCGAACAATGCTTTAGCCACTGACCTCGGTTTAGTTTCCACGGGAGCTCACCAGCCGCTCTCCAAATCCACTCAACGCGCTGGTGAGAGAAAATTCCTCTCTATCCATGCTCCTTCCTGTGCAAGCAGATACAGAGAGTGGCTTAGAAATTAATGCCCCCGTAGCCTAAAAGGCTTTAGATTACCTTTGTGTTTTCCCACACGAGATCATACGGCTCCGCAGCCCGTCTCCTGCAGGACGGATGCGAACGTGAAACAATCCAACCACCCTTTTATGAAATTGCGATCCCGATTCAGCCACAGGTGTCACAACATCCGCCTAACCGTTTGCGTAGAGAGCTCGGCGCCTTTTCTCTTCAGCAGCTTAAAAAAATGTTCAAAGAAAATGAGCTGTCGGACAAGTTAGGTTCGCCATTCAGCGTCCGCGAGGAGCAACGCGAGCCATTGTTGTTTTGGTTTGTTTTATCTGCATGAGGAGCTGTCCACTTCAGCACCCGATCGATGATTTTTAAATACCAGTAAGCGCCTTCTGTAGTCACATGTGCACGCACAACAGTGCTATTCAGCGACAGGCAGAGGCAGGGCAGCAAAACAGCTTCACTCCCATTGGTTTTTTTTCCACACAGGCGTTTGGTTTACATTCTTCATGCTATTGGCTGCTCTGTCCGTGATGTGGGCAGAACTGCGATGTCTATCAGCAGGGAAGTCAAATCACAAACACCTTAACTCTCTGACAATACCATGGTCATCAGGGTCCCTGCTTATAGTCGGCTGCACGAGGAAAAATAAAGACCGGTGAAGCCAGAGAGGAATGTAAAGTAAATAAATTAAAAAAAAATAGATTTTTATTTATATAATTTTTTACTTAAGTTAAACAATCTATACTTTTAGTATGAATTGTTTAAATGAATGGTTCTTTTCTTCCTCTTGGAACTATCCTCAGTCTGTTTCAGTGTTGCCTATTACTTCATCTTCACTGCTGGAGGTTAGGCTAAAGAGCTTTCACTACTCTCTCTCGTTCCCACAGTTCCCTTTCAATGGCCATAAAATAATCAAACTCTGATGCCCTGCAGTATATATATGTGGCTTGTAGACTTCCTGTGTTCTCTGTGTAACAGAGGCTATATTGCCATCAACATAAAAATGCACTGTACTTTCAACTAAGCTGCAATAGGTAGCAGCACACCGATAAATCTACCCTAATCTGTAATGTATGCCTGCCATCACTATGTTAGGAACTCTCCAACTTCTTGGTAAAGCCAATAACTAATAATAATAACTAATCCCATGGCAACAACTCACTGCACTTAGATATGTAGACATGGTAAGGATGAATTGCTGTAGTTCAAACTAAGCACCAGAATGGAGAATGAAGGGTATTTAAGTGGTTTTAAATGTGGCATGATTTGTAGTGTCAGACAGGTTCCACTGAGTATTTCAGAAACTGCTGATCTACTGAGATTTTCCCCACATAATCATCTCTAGGGTTTACGGAGAATGACCCAAAAAAGAGAAATTATCCAACCAGTGACAGTTCTGTGGGTGAAAATGCATTCTTGTTACCAGAGGTCAGAGGTGAATGACCAAACTACTACAGGCTGATGGGAAGACAACAATAACTTAAATAACCACTTGTTACCACCAAGGTTTGCAGAAGAGCATCTTTGATTGCACAACATATTGAACCTTGAAACAGAAGGCTACAGCAGCAGACAGAGCAAACTGGGAGCTATTCATGTTAGCTAAGGACAAGGAAGCAAGTTTAGGTTAATTTAGGTTAATTTGTGTGGGCTCATCAAAACAGGAAAACAGAAAACTGGAAAAACATTGGCTGGTCTGACGATTTGATTTCTGCTGCAACACTCAGAGATAGAGTCAGACCTTAGGAATAAATAACACGAAAGCATGGATCCATCCTGCCTTGTGTCAGTGATTCAGGCTCTTGATGGTGGTGTAATGGTGTGTGAGATATTTTTGGCACACTTTGGGCTGTTTCGTACAAGTTGAGCATTGTTTCAACGCCAACAACTTACCCGAGTATTTCTGCTGACCATGTCCATCCCTTAGTGATCACAGTGTACCAATCATCTAATGGTTGCTTTCAGCAAGATAAAAAAACATGTAAAAAAAAGATCAAATCAAAATTGTTTGATTTTATTTCATTTACATATATTTTACATGACAATGTGCTCACAGTCAGTGGACCTCAGTCCATTAAATCACCTTTGGGATGCATCATGGATGTGCAGCTGACATCTGCAAAAACTGTGTGATGCTATCATATCAATATGAACCAAAATCTCTGACACCTTAATCTGTGGAACAAAGAATCAGAAAGTTCTGAAGGTAAAACTGGCTTCCAACCCAAGATTAGCAACATTTTTTCTGATAAAGACATCGGTGAGTGTAGATTGTAGTGGAGGGTGATACATTTGAAAAGCTGCTAAAAAACAAACAAACACTATTGACGATGCTGCACCACCTTTTCATCAGCATATCAAAAATGCATAACTTTGCAATACTAAAAATAACAGAATAAAAAATTACCATCTGGTTGACATGTATTGCACCATTGACTGTCACAGCTGAGTGTGTTCATTGAACCTGATGTGTAATCAGGTTCAATGAACACTGAAAGCAAACCCAAAACAAACTGATGATACCCTGATACCAAAAGATCTTTCATACACTGACTAAACCTTCAGTCATATGTTCCTATAAAAAGATAAAACACTTTGTTTCTCCTTGTGTGTTGTTCCATGTGATTTTAAAGCTACGCTGATGTGATTATGAGACACAGGTTTGCGGAAATAGTATTCAGTTTTTCTCTTGCCATTTTTTTTTTCAGTTTTATAAGTGTGGTAAAAGTGGATAATTTGTGGGTTGTCACCACAGCTGCCTGCACACTGGGAGGAGGCCTGTTGTTGCACACAGTACTGGATGGATAATGTGTTGTTTAGTTGGCTCCTGCTGTGTTGAGAGATGAGAGGCACATAAGGCTGAGTGGTATTTGCCTGCTTTGCTCTTTTTGCATTATTCAAGCGGATGGGGCCTAATGATCCAGTGACTACAGTGCAAAGCTAATGGACTGGAGTGCAGTGAATGCCTGAGGAACTGAGTGAGAGGCTTATTGTTCGTTTCACATAAAATGACATCTGCTGTGGCATGGGAATTGATTTCTTCTGTTCAATTTATTCCTAGTTTGAATCCATTTTTGCTCATATCACTCATTAAAAACATTATGCATGCCCGCCCCTCATATTTGATGCTTTATAAGGTAACTGTGTACTAAAACCTGCAGATCACCATCCCAAGATTACAATATGTGGCTCTGCTGTAAACTGCACTGTTTAATATATTTAAAGTGCTGGTAGCCATTTCAGCACTTTCTGACTAATAACAAATATCTTGGTTGAGTCAGATGATCTTGGCAAATGGATCGTCTTTCCTTTCATGAATATGTTTCCATGGCTACCTCTCACCTCTTACTACTCTTCAGTTATTTTTCTCCAAGGTATTTCATTGCTCTGAGATGTCATCTTTCACTTTGTGCATTTAAAGTTACAAATCAGTTGTTTTCTGTTGTTTATTTCATGTTCTCATGAAATTCCCTAAGGAGCTAACTTTTACACAGACTAAACAAATAACTCAGTTTCAATTTTCATTTCATGCGCTTTCATTAACTTATTTTGAGCTTGAATTTAAAGTGTAAAAAAATAATTAAAAATATAGGAATTCATTCAAAGATTAAAGACCATATGAATTCCCAATAAACGTATAACTGGGCTAATGTAGACTTTATTACCTTTATAAATAACTGATGAAACGCTAAAGTAAGTCGGACTTGCAGGATTAGAAAATTGGCCATAGTCTCTGTCTGTCTACCTCTCTGTCTTTCTCCTCTCCTGTAAAAAGGTTGTTGATAAGCTGTTGTGTTAGATTCAAGTGATGAGTCAGACATGCAGTGGTCTGATTGCTCTCAGTGCCAACACATGATGGAAAACTCCATTTTTGATTTCCACAGGATTTTTTGTTTGCACAGGACAGTAAAATGATATAGAAGCTCTCCAGATATTACTGCTGTTTTTACACAGATTATTGAAGAGATAAAGAAATACCCCCAAATCTCTGTTTGTGTAACAAATGCATTATGAGTACATCATTAGATCATTTACACTGATATAGATCCCAAAGAATATGACACATATAGCAAGTTTGTTTAGCCTGGAAGAGCTACAGTGATGCACTAAGTACACACCATGATTCAGTAGCTTTTAGAACTACCTTTAGCTCCAGTACACTGAGTTGCTTTCTGTGTAACTTTATCTCTCAGATCATTGTGGATGAATTTTGACACACTCTTCTTTACAGTGTTGCTTCTTCCTCTCAAGGTCCTGCCACAACATTTCATTCAGGTTGAAATCTAGACTTTGACTGGGCCATTACAACATCTTGATTGTTTTCTTTTTCAGTCCCTCTGTTGTAGAGTTGATGTTTTGTTTGGGATAATTGTCGTGTTAGATGACCTAATTTTGAAAATGCTTTAGCTGTCAGAGAGATGACCACACATTTGACTCTGTAATACTTGGTACACAAGGGACTTCATGGTTGACTCACTGACCGTCTTGTGGCTGCAAAATAAGCCCAACTCTACACCCCTGCACCACTGTGCTGACAGTTGGTATGAGGTGTTTGTGCTGACATGCTGTATTTGGTTTTTGCCAAATGTGGCACTGTGCTTCATGGCCACAAATCTCCATTTTGATCTCATTCTTTCAAATGATGTTTGAATAGATGTATGAGTGTGTATTTGCCAGGGTACTTGGCAGGAAGGTTGTTCCAGGCTTTTTAAAAAAATTGCCATCTTTCCTTTTTGGATCCATGTGTCCTCCGGTGCTTCTGTCTCTTTATGTAGTCCAAATATCAATCTTTGATGTTGAGTTCAGGGTATTGTGGAGTCTTGTTCTTCTTGTGATTCTTGTGTTGCTGCACAATGAATTTAAAAGAAAAACCCCAAAGGTATTACTGCACTGAATAAGAACATAAACAGCTGAAAGCAAAAATGATATTTGCATTGGCTTTAAAGAAAGTCTCAACCTTGCAACTATCTTCATATTATATGCTTATGTTATATACCTAAATGAAATAGGTAAAACTGGCATATTTGACATGATTTTTATCACTAAAAAGTAAATACATCAAAATGTCATATTACAAAAGTATTTAGTCACTTGATTCAGTACTGGCAGCTTTGAGTGTGGTTTTGACAACTGGGTTTAGACAGGAAGTGCCTCTTAGTTTCTCTCTTCAGAGTTCTGCAGAGTTGTTCTACGGGCTGTAATTGTGGGCCTTGGCTAGGTTGCTCAAGGACAGTAAGACAGTCGTCCTGAAGTCACTCCAGTATTGTCTTGGCTACATGCCTCAGCTCATTGTGGTACTAAAAGCTGAACCATTGCCCCAGTCTTAGGTCCAGGTTCTCTCTGTGCTGCACTGAGCCTTTAATGAGTCCCTCTGTCTGGGAAATTGGCCTCTTATGCTTTATCTCTGACAGGCTCTATAAGAAGTGTCATTTACCTTTTCTTAAACTAAACC